TCGTCAAGTTTAACCCAAGTATTCTGCGTGTGTAAATCTGGCTTACACCCGTTGTATGTAAACGTAGAGTCTATCACACCCGATCATCACGTGGTGTCTCAACACGACGAACTATAGCAACGGTGCATACTTAAGGAGAACACTTTTACCTTGAAATTTAGTGAAGGGATCATCTTTTAATGCTACCGCTGTTCTAAGCAAAATAAGATGAATAAAGGATAAACATCACATGCAATCAAAAATATGTGACATGATATGGCCATCATCATCTTGTTCTTTTGATCACCATCTCCAAAGCATCATCATGATCTCCATCGTCACCGGCTCGACAACTTGATCTCCATCATTGCGTCGTGGTCGTCTCGCCAACTATTGCTTCTACGACTATTGATAACTCATATAGATAAAGTAAAGCAATTACATGGCGTTTGTATTTCATACAATAAAGAGACAACCATAAGGCTCATGCCGGTTTCCAATAGATTACAAAACATGATCATCTCATACAATTAACATATATCACATCATGTCTTGACCATATCACATCACAACATTTCCTGCAAAAACAAGTTAGACGTCCTCTACTTTGTTGTTGCAAGTTTTACGTGGCTGCTACGGGCTTCTAGCAAGAAGTGTTCTTACCTATGCACCAAAACCACAACGGTGATTTATCAAGTTTGTTGTTTTAACCTTCAACAAGGACCAGCCATAGTCAAAGTCGATTCAACTATAGTAGGAGAAATAGACACCCGCCAACCACCTTTATGCAAAACTAATTGCATGTCTGTCGGTGGAACCGGTCTCATGAACTCATGTAAGGTTGGTTCGGGCCGCTTCATCCAACAATACCGCCAAATCAAAATAAGACATTGGTGGCAAGTAGTTTGCCGGTCACCGCCCACAGCTCTTTGTGTTATGCTCGTGCATATCATCTATGCATAGACCTGGCTCTGATACCACTGTTGTGGAACGTAGCATGCAATTTCAAAAAAAAAATCCTACGCTCACGCAAGATCTACCTAGGAGATGCATAGCAACGAGGGGGAGAGTGTGTTTACGTACCCTCGTAGACCGTAAGCGGAAGCGTTTCACAATGCGGTTGATATAGTCGAACTTTCTTCACGATCCACCGATCGAGTACCGAACGTACAGCACCTCGAGTTCTGCACATGTTCAGCTCGGTAACATCCCTCGCCTTCTTGATCTAGCAAGTCGTCGAGGTAGTAGATGATTTCCATCAGCACGACGGCGTGGTAACGGTGATGGTGAAGTAATCCTCGCAGGGCTTCGCCTAAGCACTGCGAAGATATGACCGGGGGTGTAAAGTGTAAACGGTGGAGGAGGGCGCCGCACACGGCTAACAATTGATCTGGTATGTTCTAGGCGCCCCCCTCCTCATATATATAGGTGGGAAGGAGAGGGGAGAGGCAAAGGGGCGTCCCAAGTGAGATTGAATCCCACTTGGGCTCCTGCCCTGGTTCGCCCCCCTTCCTTGCATAGGCGCCAGGGGAAGGAAGGGGAGGTGGCGCCCCCCCCCTTCCACTCCCTTGAGGAGGGGAAGGAAGGAGGGACTTGCCCTCCCCCCTTTACTTTTCCTAGGGCTGGCTAGCCTGGAGGAGGGGCGCACCAGCCCCTTGTGGGCTGGTCTGTCCCTCCCTTGACCCATTAAGCCCATATCTTTGTCGGGGGTGCCAGGAACCCCTTCCGATGACCCTATATGTACCCGGTACCCTCCGGGACACTTCCGGTGTCCGAATACCATTGTCCTATATATAAATCTTTACCTCTCGACCATTTCTAGATTCCTCGTCATGTCCGTGATCTCACCCGGGACTCCAAACAACATTTGGTCACCAAATCACATAACTCATATAATACTATATCGGCATCGAACGTTAAGTGTGCGAACCCTAGGGGTTCGAGAACTATGTAGACATGACCAAGACACCTCTCCGGTCAATAACCAATAGCAGAACATAGATGCCCATATTGGCTCCTACATATTTTACGAAGATCTTTATTGGTCGAACAGTTATGACAACATACGTAATTCCCTTTGTCCATCGACATGTTATTTGCCCGAGATTCGATCGTCGGTATCTTCATACCTAGTTCAATCTCGTTACCGGCAAGTCTCTTTACTCTTTCCGTAATACATCATCATGCAACTAACTCATTAGTCACTTTGCTTGCAAGACTTCTTATGATGTGTATTACCGAGAGGGCCCAGAGATACCTCTCAGATACTCGAAGTGGCAAATCCTAATCTCGATCTATGCCAACCCAACGTACACCTTCAGAGATACCTGTAGAGCATCTTTATAATCACCCAGTTACGTTTTGACGTTTGATAGCACAAAAGGCATTCCTCCGGTATCCGGGAGTTGCATAATCTAATAGTCGAAGGAATATGTATTTGACATGAAGAAAGCAATAGCAATAAAACTGAACGATCAATATGCTATGTTAACGGATGGGTCTTGTCCATCACATTATTCTCCTAATGATGTGATCCCTTTCATCAAATGACAACACATGTCTATGGTTAGGAAACTTAACCATCTTTGATTAATGAGCTAGTCTAGTAGAGGCTTACTAGGGACACGGTGTTTTGTTTATGTATCCATACATGTATCAAGTTTTCCGGTTAATACAACTGTAGAATGAATAATAAACATTTATCACGATATAAGGAAATATAAAATAACAACTTTATTATTGCCTCTAGGGCATATTTCCTTCAACAACATGATTTGTGTTGGATGATATGATGAGACTATTATGTGTATGATATGATGAACATATTGCATGTTTATGATATGATTAGAATACTATATAAAACCTGTACAAAAACATCACAAATACATAGCAAAAAGATATGTGAAAATATAGTAGTAGCGTTCTTTAGCAGGAAACAGTAGTGCCGTAAACAGGCGCTATAGCTAATTGGCAGTAGCGCTGGACTGGAAAACGCTACTGCTAAGCCACTTAGCAGTAGCACTAATTAGGACAGCAGTACTGCTAAGTAGGTATAGCAATAGCGCGGTACAAAAAGCGCTACTGTAGTGCCTTACTAGTAGCGCAGGTTCCCGCGCTACCGCTAGGCATTTTACCCGCGCTACTGCTAGGCTTTTCCCTAGTAGTGCCACTTTGTTTGCTTTTGGTATCTACTTTATGAGGACACATTGTCTTGGCTTACTTTTGGAACCAAATATATGTTTCCACTTTGTCATGAACTTCCAGATCAATTGTTCTATTGAGTATCTTGCTTTCCTTGCTTTTGGTATATCTGATTTTACTGCCCGTTTGTATCGCTTTGACAAAATGTGGCAAGCTATTGACGTAACTTATTGGGTTGATATATCATGAGCAATCATTCTAATTCTCATTTGGCAATTGTACTAGGTTTGATCCATCCCCAGCAATCTTTTTAATTCCCATTTGGGAATACTAAATGATTTGTTTAAACATTTGAACAATATGTTGAGCCAGGCACCTTGCGCCAAGACGTGTTCCCTATCTAGTGATAAAAAGGGAAAAGAGGAATCAAAATGACACGAAGGGGAGGAATTGACCATCAGTGACAAAATCGGAACACCATTGTGATGTGCATCAGTACACGTAGTAGTTTGACCAGAAAAAGCAACACACTAATTTGTGAAAAAAAGCAACATGAAAAGTAGACGCGCAAATAGTGTCACAGGATGGAACTCGGCCCAAAACAGACAAGCCCATAGAAAGTAGAATACAAAATAGAAACCGAGCCTACAGAAAGCCCAACAAAGAAAAATCACAAACCAGCGACGACGAGAGCCGACTGAGTCTTAAAGAGTCTTATATAAATAGACCCTACCTTCAAAAAAAATATAAATAGACCCAAAAACAAAAACAAAAAAAGCACAGACAGACACGTGTTCTGGACACCCACAATCGAACAGAGTGGACTGCTAATTCTCAGTGCACTTAGCCTTACTCTTAGCTCTTCAATCTATTCATCTCGCACTTTAATAATTTCAATTTGAAGGAAAACAAATCCTTGCATCTGTAGTCGGCCACAGCTTAAGATAAGAAGAAGAGTTCACAAACATGAATGGCCCACAAACACGCAGTAAATATAGAATTACCCTCACAAAATCAATGGTTGATGATTTTATACTGCTCCATCCCCTCCGTAGCAGTATAGGGTATCATAAAAAAGCTCTAAATATAAGCTAGATGAGGAAGAGTCACGCCAAGTAAAGTACAAGCTAGATGAGGATGAGGAGTTGCCACCCACGAATTTCACTCAAGAGTCGACAAAGATCTTCAAGCACCAAAATCAAAATCAAGTGTGGCGGGCACTTACTTGTAGTAGTACGTGGCCTGGCCACTCACTACCACTTGCTGCAATGCACACCCTATAAGACACCACTCATCACCCTAGCAGTTTGTACAACACCAAGAGAGAGCACTTGCCAATCACTCACTCGACCTCAATGAATCCCATGGCCAAATGCTGCCTACTGCTCCTCCCCATCTTCTTCTTGGCATTTCTCTTGCCCGAGGCGGACGCCACTTCGTGCCACCCCGACGACCTTCGTGCGCTGCAGGACTTTGTTAGGAACCTCAGCGGCGGGGGTGTCCTCCTCCAGGCCATGTGGTTCGGCGCCACATGCTGCAGCTGGGAAGGTGTGAGCTGTGATGCCGCCAGTGGCCGTGTCACGGCACTGCGCCTCCCCAGGCGCGGCCTTGTGGGGCCCATCCCAGGAACCTCCCTTGCAGGCCTTGCGCGGCTCGAGGAGCTCGACCTTGGCTCCAACAACTTTCAAAACATCGCAGGGGTACTCACCGTGTTGCGTGGGTGCTAGAACCTCACCACGCTGATTCTCACCAAGAATTTCGGTGGTGAGGAGCTACTAGGCGATGGTATTATTGGCGGGTTCAAGAGCCTCGAGGTGTTGGCCCTTGGTGATTGTGCTCTCAAGGGCAGGGTTCCGGAATGGTTGTCTCAATGCAAGAATATGGAGGTGCTTGATTTGTCCGGCAACCAATTGGTCGGCACCATCCCATCGTGGATTGGCGAGCTTCACCACCTTTGCTACTTGGATCTCTCAAACAATTCATTGGTTGGCGATGCACCTAAAAGTTTGGCACTGCTAAAGGGGCTCGCCCCTGATGGGCGTTCACCGGGCATGGTTTTCACTAACATGCAGTTGTATGTGAAGCATAACAGAAGCACACTCGGACGACGACTTAACGAGCTCCCAAATGTCATCACAGGGACCAACAACGTTGTGAGATCTGGGAGCAAGAATGTTATATGTGGGAACGACAACACTGTCATATTTGGGGATGAAAACACCATATCCGGGAATGAAAACACCGTATCTGGGAACAACCATGTCGTATCTGGGAGTAAGCATGTCGTATCTGGGAGCAGGCATGGCATAACTGGGAGAAACAGTTTCGTATCCGGGAGCTACAATAACGTATCTGGGATTTACCATGTCGTATCTGGGAGTAACAATGTAGTATTTGGGAGCAACAATTCTGTATCTGGGAGGAACCATATTGTATATGGGGACAACAAGGTTATAACAGGAGGTTGATGTGTGTGTGTGTCGAGATGAGATGATGTTGAGCCTCCTTTTGAACTCCTCGGCTACTTGAGGAGTCGAGATGAGATGATGTTGAGCCTTTTGTAGTGTTCTCGCTGCTACTATCCAAGCAAGGTTGATGACATGATGTTCGATAAATAATGTACATAAGTTGACGCAGGAGATGTGTCTCCCTATGCCTCGCGTACGTATGTTGTAATAGTCGAACATTTATGGTCTATGTATTGTAATATATATATATATATATATATATATATATATATATATATATATATATATATATATATATATATATATATATATATATATTGTGGTTTGGTTTGTGTGCCAAGTTGTATTGTGTATCTTTAAGGTGGTACATCTTTATGCATGCACAACACCCACAATTATACTCCTTGAGGTATTGTGGCAACTCACAACGGCAACGCCCACCACGAACACGCCCTGCGGTAGGTGGCGAGCGGATAGGCACCAAGCTCGCAGCTGTCTCCGCACCTTGGCCGTTTAAACAGTGGCCACGATCTCTGTCTCCCCGCCTTTGCCATTTGAAAATTGGCCACCGTCCCCTCTTCTGCTCAGGAGGGAAACCTGGACATTGGGCCACTTGCTGTTTTGGAGGTGCCTGCTCTGCCCGCCAGCGTGGCGTTCGAGGACCCAGTGTTGGCAAACCCCTCGGTGACTTGCTGGAACGTTCGAGGCTTGAACAATCCGGCGAAAAGAAGAGCGGTGAAGGAGTTTTTAGATTCGGTTAAGCCTAGCATAGTCTGTTTGCAAGAGACCAAACTTGCCGTTGTAGATGCTTTCCTGTTATTGCAATGTTGTGGCCCGTCTTTGGATGGCTTTTCCTACTTACCGGTGGAGGAGACGAGAGGTGGTATTATCTTAGCCTGGGACACCACGGTTTTGCATATCGACCACATACAGAGGGACGCCAACTCCATCACAGGTTTGGCTCGCCCCAAGGTTGGAGAGGATTGGTGGATCACGGTGGTCTATGGCCCACAAGGCGACAAGCGCAAAACACAGTTTCTTGCGGATTTGGAAGCTAGGAGATCATTGTGCCCGGGGCCTTGGATGGTCCTCGGCGACTTCAATATGATCCTGCGTGCCTCGGAGAAGAGTAACTTGAACCTCAAGATGAATAAATTCAGAGCTTTCGTTGATAATAACGAGTTGAAGGAGCTTTACATGCATGGACGTCGTTTCACTTGGACGAACGAGCGGGAGGCGCCTACATTTACCAAGATTGATCGCGTCTTGGTCTCCATTGACTGGGAGCTGGCTCGACATGATTACCTCCTCCAGGCGCTCTCCACTAACATTTCAGACCACGCGCCCTTGCATCTCTCAGTTGCTGCTCACCATTGGCCGAAAAAAAGATTCTGGTTCGAGTCCTTTTGGCTCAAGATTGACGGCTTCGATCAGGCTGTTTGCGAGGCATGGACCTGTGATCCCGCAATTATCGACCCGTTTAAAAGGTTGGACACTCTGTTCAGAAATGCCGGTGCTGTGCTGCAAGCTTGGGGGCAAAAGAAAGTCGGTAACATCAAGTTGCTCATGTCTGTTGCCTCACTTGTGATTTTCCGGTTTGATCAAGCCATGGAAGCTAGAGTCTTGTCGGAGCTTGAGATTTGGTTGAGGAGATCGTTGAAGCTAGCCTTGTTGGGGCTAGCGTCCTTGGAGCGCACCATAGAAAGACAAAGGTCCAGGTTTAGATGGTTGCGGGAAGGAGACGCAAACACCAAATTCTTCCAGTCGGTGGCCAACGGAAGAAGGGCTAAAAACTTCATCCCACACATCAGAGTTGGAGTAGAGACCATCACTGATCAGATGCGCATGGAGGAGGCTTTCGCCGATGCTTTTCAGAGCCTCTTGGGTATGGCGCACACAAGGAACCACACCCTGGATCTTGATTACCTGGGAGTTGAGCAACTGGACCTACGAGACATGGAGGTTCTCTTCACAGAGGAGGAAGTTTGGGGCGTTATCAAAGAGATGCACCCGGATCGCGCCCCTGGACCGGATGGCTTCACCATCGCTTTCTATCAAAGGGCATGGCCCACCATCAAGAGTGATGTCATGGCTGCACTCTTCAAGCTCTGCGTGGGCGACGACCGTGGTTTCGCCAGGCTAAACCGCACCCTCATCGTCCTGATACCAAAGAAGCCCGATGCGATTGAAGTGGGCGACTACAGGCCTATTAGTCTGCCCCACAGCTTCTCCAAGATTTTTGCTAAGTTGCTTGCTAATAGAGCACGAAGGAGAATGCATGAGCTTGTCGGAGTCAACTAGTCCGCGTTCATCAAAGACCGTACCCTGCATGATAACTACTTGCTGGTCAAGCAAGTTGCGAGGAAAATCCATGCGAGGAAGAGCCCCGGAGTGTTCCTAAAATTAGACATCACTCGCGCCTTTGACTCCTTGTCATGGCCATTTTTTTCGAGGTGCTGCGCGCTAAAGGTTTTGGAAGAGTCTGGTTGAAGTGGGTAGCTAGTTTGCTGCAAACAGCGAGCACCAAAATTGTGGTGAATGGGGTTCCTGGCAGGAGAATTTGGCACGCCAAAGGTTTAAGACAAGGAGATCCAGTCTCTCCTTTGTTGTTTGTCATTGCCATGGATATCCTGTCCGCGATCGTCGCCAAAGCATCGCAAGAGGGAGTTCTCAGCGCTTACACGGGCATCTCTGCTACGCAGCGGCTGTCGGTATATGCAGACGATGTTGCGCTATTCGTCAAACCCTCGGATGCAGATCTGCAATTTGTAAGGCATGCGTTGGAAATCTTTGATGAAGCTTCGGGCCTTCGAGTGAACTACACTAAGTCTACCGCCATCCTCATCTCGGAGAACAATGATGATAGAGCGAGAGTTGAAGGTATCCTTCAGTGCACCATGTCCGAGTTCCCCTGCAAGTACCTTGGGCTACAACTTGCGCTCAAGCAGCTTACCAGGGCTCAATGGCAGCCACTTCTTGATCAGGTGAGGCACTTCGTCCCCGCCTGGCAGAGAGGCATGATGCAGCGCTCGGGAAGATTGATCTTGGTCAAGTCTGTGCTCTCGGCGAGGCCGGTTCACCACTTACTGGTCATGGACGCCCCGGCCTGGGTGTTTGAGGATATAAATGGGTGGCTGCGCTCTTTCTTTTGGAAGGGTAAGGATCGGGTCTCCGGAGGGCATTGCTTAGTTGCATGGAATAATATTTGCAAGCCAACTGCCTTCTGAGGATTGGGCGTGAAGAACATGAGTTTGCAGGCGATCGCGCTTAGAGTGCGTTGGGAGTGGCTTAGGCGGACTGATCCCCGCAGGCCTTGGCAAGGATTGCATCTGCTGGTGGACGACGAGGCCAGACAAGTTTTTGATAGTCTTGTAAAGATTGCAGTCGGGAAAGGCGACAGAGTATTGTTCTGGAGAGATAGATGGATTCATGGCTTCTCGGTCGGAATCGCCCCTCTCATCTTGGATGGCGTGGACACGAGGACCAGGAACTCTAGGACAGTGGCTCAGGCGATGTTGAGGGAGAGATGGACCAGTGACACCCATTCCCAATTCTCCTTCACGGGTTTGCTTCAGATGGTGCACCTGAGGCACGCGATTGCTACGGTTCAAAGAGACTTACAAAGCGAGGACGAATTCAGATGGCCACACGATCCTTCAGGAGCGTATACTGCGAGATCCACGTATGCGCAACTTTGCCAGGGCGGAATCCGCTTCCCCATGGCACCGGCCATTTGGCGAAGTTGGGCCCCGCTTAAGTGCAAGATTTTTACCTGGCTTGCTGTGCAACACAAATTGTGGACCTCTGATAGGAGAGCTCGTCATGGTCTGCAAGATGAGCCTTCGGCTTGCTACATTTGCTTGCAAGAAGAAGATAACGTCGAGCACATGTTGGTGCAATGCCCATATGCGAGAGAAGTCTGGCACACATGTTTCGACACTTTGCAGGTTCAAGTCGGTATTCCGGATGGTCAGGAGACACTAGAGGAGTGGTGGCTCAGGACTAGGAGAGGATTCCACGGAAAAGTGAAGCGAGGTTTCAACTCGCTGGTCATTGGAGCGTTGTGGGCCATTTGGAAGCAAAGAAACGCGCACGTCTTCAACCAGCCGGAGCAGGTGGTGGGCCCGAGAGAGCTCACAATGGCGATTCTCGGCGACATTCGGGATTGGTCGAGCACTAGGTTTGGTGTGGGTGGCCTAGACAGATTCATGAGGAGTTAGCTTTTGGTTTTTTCGGTGTGGGTGTGCTGGCGACTAATGTTCGCATTGTTCGTCGGTCTCTTGTAAATACTTTGCTTCCTTCTATAAAAATATGGTACGCCTTTGGCGTACTCTCGAAAAAAAACAATGGCAACGCAAGCATATTATGGGAGTACCTAGAACTCAACTAGATGAGATATAATTTGGTCAAATGAGACGGCGGAGACGAAGCTGGGGGAAACACGGCGCGCCTTGATGCGCTGCTCATGCCCAAGGAGGCGCGCATAGAGCTCACGACGCGGGAGTGTATCATCTCGACCATGGACGTTCTCAATGAGATTGTCATAATCATCATCGAGCCCGTTAAGCACAAAGGTGATGAAGTCCGCGTCCAGAAGTGGCTGACCAACAGAGGCCAGAGTGTCTGCGAGGCTCATCATCTTGTTGAAGTACTCCGTGATGCTGAGATCGCCAAGTTTGGTCTCACCTAGCTCGGTGCGTATAGAGTGCGCACGTGCCTGAGACTGAGAGACGAAACTGGTGTGGAGGGCCGCCCACGCCTCCCTGGACGTAGCGGCAAAGATGACCATCAATGAAACACTCGGCGTGAGCGAGGACTGGATGGTAGAGAGGATGGCCTGATCCTGCGCCATCCACGTGTGATATGCCGGATGGTGAGGAGGTGGGCACGGGATGAACCCATCAACATAGCCCTCCAAGTAGCGGTTGTGGAGGAGAGGCAAGACCTGCGCACGCCACGACAGGTAGTTGTCCATCCCGAGCTTCACTGGCAGCAGGTGC